CGCGAAGCCGCTGACCTGCTCTCTGCCTCACCTTTATTTTTTTCTTTGAAACTATTTTGAAAATCTCTTTTGTCCTCTCTCACCTCCTGGGACAGGGAGTTCAGTATTATTTTCTGTCACGTGCAGAAGTACTGCAGCTGCTGCGAGCGGGATCTCGTGTTGCTCCCGCGTACCAGGAGTGCTCCTGAGCGAGCGCAGCGTGCCCACGGCATACGTGCTGCCGTATGAGCCGAATTCCTCCTCGGGCAAAGGCAGGTCTCATCTTTCCTTCTCTTATTCCTCGCCTGCATCCTTATTGCAGAGTAGGAGACATCAATTCCGGTGATTCAAAGCCGTTGCAGTAAACCATCCACCTTACTTAGCTACAAATTTACTTGGTTTATGTGTTTCAGGTTTGTTTGTTTTTTCCCCCACCACTGCTCTGAACTTAATTTGCAGTATATTTTGCAAATGCATTCTTCCTGTAGGTGGCTTATTACTGCTGGATGCTGTGCAAACAGCGGCTGTTCCGCTTGTGTCCAAAGCTGCAGAAAATGCTTATTGTTCCCTGCATGTGCCATTGCCGGGGTAGCACACGCACTGCAGCGAGGAGAGCCGGAGAGAACTACTTGTCTGCAAAACGAGGAGTTGCACAGCTTTCACTCGTCAAACAGCAGCTTTTTTGTTCATGAAAGAGCGAATTCTTGGGAGGCAATCATCCCTCTGAACTGCAGGCCCTTCGCGTGTTGGCGTATCCATCACAGCTCGTGTGTCCGTCGGGATAATCAATGGGAAGAAATGAGCTCCTCCGCAACGCACTCGCGTGGTCGGTGCTGGAGGCTCTTTCCGAAGGTGATAAATTGCGCCCTGAAAGTGCAGTTCGGTGAGCCTGGCCAGCTCGGGTGTCGACATCTCCATCGTAGCCAGCTCCCAGAGCGTGATTCATCTCCTCCAGGAGTCTGCAGTGCAGGCATCTCCAGCACAGACTATCGATCCTCTCTGGGGATCAGGGGAGTTTGGGGCGTGATTTGTCAGGTCGAATACTTCCACCAGTTTGAGGTGAGAAGACTCTGGCGTGTGCCCCGCCAGCGCCCGAAGTGCGAGGTGACTCGCTGCTGTGGAGGTACCTCCGAATGACCCGCGGAACCCCCCGTTAAGGGCAGCATCTCTGCGGAGTGCTGGAGGTCACCCTGCGTTTGGCTGCACACCCAAATCGGCGCTGAACGCAGCATCGTGAAGGGGGATAAAAGCCATCGTGGAAGGTGATTGGAGAAGGATCCAGATTTCTGTGATTCATTGAGGTTTTGTCATAGTGCAGCAAAGATAGTAAACTTCCTAATTAATGTCTGAGCTTACTGGCTCAGATGCGAAATCTGTTCAGCCCATTGCCTGTGACAGGAGTGGCTGTAGTGGAGAGCCAGGAAGAGTCCAGGGGCAAAGTAAGCGTATTCCGTGATAGATCTTCATCCCTCACTGGGCTAATTATTCTTTGACCGCATCGAGATCTTTGATACTCTGTTAACCTGTGGCAGTGACAGACCTACGAAAGAACATTTCATTTCAGGCACCCTCATCTTTGTACAGTGAGACAGTGTTAATAACCGTTCGCTGTGAACCAGGCTGAAGAGTCCAATCTAATTAATCCTTTCTAAGATGGAAGCCACTCCACCAGTATGGAGATCAGGCTCTGCGGGAGCGCTGCTGAATTCCTCTCCGGTTCCACAGTGAGTGGCAGTGCAGAGAGCTCTGTTTATGTATTTCAGGTGAATAATTCTTATGAAATCTCCCCGTTGAATGAAATCTAGTGGTGACCAGCTCTGTATTTTAACTGTGTGCCTCTCAGTAATAAGGGACTCGGTTTACTCCAATGTGTGAAGGTCGTTTCTTTGATTTCATAGCTTTTTTCAAGGTGTTTTGTAAGATTTTTTTCAGCAGGTTTCTAGCCTGATGGGTTTCATGTTGATGAAGACAGCAGATTGCAGGAATATGATCATGAATATAATGACAGGAAGGAGGGTCGGAGGAATGTGCCAGTGCAGGATTTCTGTTCTGGAGATCTTTATCTGAACGAGAGGTGGTTTGCGGGTTTTTTTTCTGATGATGCAGTAAGACATGGAATGGGACAAATAATATGCTAAATAGTTGCACCTTCTTTAACAGAACATGTTCAACGCCAAAGAGTTTATTTAGAGACCCTAGGGAGAACATAATGCGAGCGTTTGTGTGTCGTATGCTTCTAGGAAAGCTGTCCCAGAGCAGAAGTCAGCAGTAGTCTTGGTAGATGGAGATGAAATTATTTTTGTCCATGTGACAGTGAAGAATATCTCAGCTCTGGAGCTTGCAGAAACAGGAAGGCAGAGCAGCTGTTTTTATTTTAACCTCTGCTGCCCTTTTTTCTTTTCAGGTCATATCTGACTCCAGTGCGGGATGAGGAAGCAGAATCGCTGAGGAAGGCACGATCCAGGCAGGCCCGGCAGACTCGCAGGTCTACGCAGGTAAGGAATGGAAGTACTCAGGTTTGCGTGTAGGATGGAGAGCTGATGAACAGAGGCAAGATTTTCTTTTCCTCTGACTGCGAGGAAACATTAGTCTGGCCAGGTGTAAGCCTGCTGGGCGCTTTAAACCGACCTGGAAGACTTGAAATCTAATAGCATAAATGTAAGAATTTTCTGTTTTCCTTGCTCTGCAGGGTGTGACGCTGACAGACCTTCAGGAGGCAGAGCGAACCTTCAGCCGGTCTCGGGCCGAGCGGCAAGCTCAGGAACAGCAAAGCGAGAAAGCGGAGAGCACTGAGCCCGCTGAGGACAGCAGCGAGAGACAGGAGACCCGCTCACGGTGGAGCAGAAATACAGATGAGGAGGTGACCCTCCTGGCCTCGCTTCCCTTTGTTTCAGAGTTAAGGAAACCATTTAGGATAGCTGAGATCAGGAGAAATTCTGTTGGGGATGTCTGTCTGCTTTAAGGGGAGCAGACTTGCTGAAGAGAAGCAATGCTGAGGAGCAGCGCCTCCCCTCGGCGATCTGCACGAGGGACGGGGGCAGGGAGCTGTTAGAGGTTAGCTGTTCCTTTGCTCTCTGCTGGGAGCTTCACTGTTCTGTCTCTTGCCAGAAAAATAAAACTGTAAATCACAGAGAGTGGAATGAGAAGGCTAATGATAGCAATGTGGCCCGGATCCATTCTTGCTGTGCAGACTGGGCTGAGGCGCTGTGTTCACATTTTTCCACAGATGTTCGGTGTGTAATGGAAAGCCAGAGAGACCAGTTTTCTCCTGCTGCCATCGCTTCTGGTTTTTTACTCTAAATCATTCGTTTCTATTAGATAACTTGTTTGTCCTGCTCTTGGCTGTAGGGACAAAGGGATCGATCCCAGAGTTCCCTGCGAGGGGAGGGTGCTCTCACTGTAGCTGAACAGGGCGTTTAACGTTAGTCCCAGTCTGATGGAGTGAACCTGATCTGGCATGTGGAGGTGATCCCTTCAGCAGCAGTGAAGAAAACACGACACTCTGAAGGATTACCCAGTTCCCTGAAATCCCAAATCTGCTGGTACCTCTCCATTTTACTAACTTTTTGTCATGGTTCTTTGTTTATAGACTGTCTATCGGCGATTAAGGTGCCCAGTACAACCAGACAAGCCTACGACACCTGTATCTCCTTCAACGTCAGCACCTCTCCTTTATACGAGTTCCTACCTGACTCGAACAAATAAGTATCTAGGTCTTGACTCTGTGAACCCAGCAGACTTCAGAGGTGCAGCCACAGAGATGGAGAAAAATGGTAGGTACCCAGGAGAACGAAGAACAGTCAGAGCTCAAGGATTTCCCTGAGTTTTAGAACTTTCAGTGTGTACAGACAGAGAGAGTGAGTTCACTAGTTACTCTGAGAGGAGCGGTATGGGGAGCTGCCATCTCACCAAACGTTCCTTGTTGAAATGGAAATCCTGATGTAGGGTACAGCCTGTGCTGGTAGCGGAGAGGGATGAAAGGATGTTTTCCATTTTGGATAAATAAATGAGATAGTAATCCATGGAGCGTTCAGGTCTTAGAGCTGGGGGGAGTGATTGTGCTAGTACAGTTTGTCCTTAGAACAGGAGTAAGACAGGATGATTTGGGGAGAGCTGACAGCTAGGTTAACCTCTCTGGGCTCTGAGAAAGGAAAAAGTGTGAGTAACCAGATGTGATAGGGCACGAAGATTCCATTTCATTTGGTTTAATAACTCCTTTGTAATATAAAACAAGCCAGAATGACCTTAATCAGCTTGAAAAGAACCCCAGTACCTTAGCAAAAGCACAAATGTAAATCACTGAAACCAAAGCAGTCTTTCTTTGCTTGGCCAGAGTGTGAAGATCAGGATTTAGACGACAGATCTCTGAACAAACAGTCCATCCGAGAGAGGCGGCGGCCAAAAGAGAGGCGAAGAGGCACTGGCATCATTTTCTCAACAAATGATGTAAGTTTGAGTTCCTTAGAGAAGAGAAACTCGTTCTGTAATATTCAGGGTGAATTTCCTTCCAATTCCAAGCTTCAGATTTTTGTCAATTCCGTTGATTTCCCGTTAGTCCTTCCCTCTCCAACTGTATTTCAGAATGGCGCTTCCAAAGGAATCGCATCCTTGTTTGGCCCGTGTAAAACCCAAGCAGCAGGCTCTGGGGAGCCTGTTCTCGAGCTGTGTATTGGTGTGATCCTTGTGGAATTGTGAAAGACCCCTCATGGGAGAAGAGAGGTTAGAAGTCCTTTGGAGGAAGGAGCTCAAGAGCCACTGGCAGCATTTTCAAATTCCTGCACACCCAGATTTGGCTACATTTTAGGTGCCCTAAAAGGAAGGCAGTGAGGGATAAAACCGATGTCTGGATCCCCTCACCAGCACCAGGGAACGCACACGGCATAAATGCAATGAGCTGCCTGTGTCATGGTTATTTCTCTGTCCTGGTTTCAGAAGGATTTCTTTGGTCTGAGGGGAGAAATCCAGCCCTCCAAACCTTGGTTAGAGACTCAGGTAGGAAAATAGATCACCTTTTTCAGCAGGTGAAATAAGTATTATGAAGCCATGGTTCTGAAGTCCACAACAATTCCGTTCCTGGTAGGGACATCCAGCCTTCCTCGTACGCCACAGGGGTCGAGGCTTCCTGCACAGTGCAATGGAAAAAAACCCCAAAGGTCTTCCCTGTGGCAGCAGCAGAGAAGTTGAGTATTTGGAGTTACAGGCAAGTTGAATAGGGCCCTGCTGGAAACCTCAGAATTTCTATTGAAAGACTTGCTGCAAATACCCCTTTTTTATTATTTACAAATGATTCTTACATTTTTTCACTTGCATGCCAAATGTGATTTGTTTGTTTGTTTTTGCTTTTTTTTTTAATGAAATACTTTACAGCTTGCCCGGTTGTCTACTGGATCAGTGTAGCAATATTAGTAGCTTCGGGGCAGAAGGCAAATCGCCTCTCGGAGTTTTAGTTCATTGTGTCTATACAAAACTGCAGCTACAACTCCTGAAATACCTGGAGTTCGGTATGGAGTCAGACGTGGTGCCGTGGCAGTTTGCCATTGCTCCGTGAAATCCTGGAGCTGTTACAGATAGGCAGTGGGTTACAGAGAGGCTGTGTAAGTGCAAGCTGTCTGGGGTAGAATCAGCGTGGTGTGGGCTGAGGGGACCTGCAGAGCCCATCCAGCCCAACCCCCTGCAGTGAGCAGGGACATCTTCAACCAGACCAGGTTGCTCAGAGCCCCATCCAACCTGGCCTGGAATGGTTCCAGGGATGGGGTATCTCCCACCTCCCTGGGCAACCTGTGCCAGTGTCTCACCATCCTCGACACAAAAAATTTCTCAATGATATTAGTCTGAATCTATCTTCTTTAGTTTAAAACAGTTTCCCCTTGTCCTATCGCTACACTAAAAAGCCTGTCCCCATCTTTCTTAGAAGCCCTTTTAGGCACTGGCAGCTGCTCTGAGGTCTCCCCGCAGCCTTCCCTTCTCCAGGCTGAGCAGCCCCAGCTCCCCCAGCCTGTCCTCGCAGAGGTGCTCCAGCCCTCGGACCATCTCCGTGGCCTCCTCTGGCCCCGTTCCAACCCATCAATGTCCTTCCTGTGTTGGGGGCTCCACGTGGGGTCTGAGGAGAGCGGAGTCAAGGGGCAGAATCCCCTCCCTCGCCCTGCTGCCCACGCTGCTCTTGGTGCAGCCCAGGGTACGGGTGGCTTTCTGGGCTAAAAGCACACATCGCCGGCTCGTGTCAACTGAAGATCCAGATTCGGCTATAATTAGCGTTTGGAGTAGGAGAGATGTTAATAGGAGCAGAGTGGCTGGAGAGACCTGTCGATGTGGAGCAAGGCAGAGCATCTCCTGGAGGTTTGGTGGGCGAGGAGGGGAAAGTGTCGTGCCCCAGACATGGTAATTCTGGACAGCCCCAGCTCTCCCAGCCTTTCCTCCCAGCAGAGGGGTTCCAGCCCTCGCATCATTGCTGGGGCCTCCTCTGGCCCCGCTCCCACAGCTCCAGCTCTGTCCTGTGCTGAGGGCTCCAGAGCTGGACGCAGGGCTCCCGGGGGGTCTCAGCAGAGCGGGGCAGAGGGGCAGAATCCCCCCCCCTCGCCCTGTGCCCACGCTGCTGGGGATGCAGCCCAGGGCATGGTTGGCCTGCTGAGCTGCCAGCACACATTGCTGGGTCATGTCCAGCTTGTCATCCCCCAGCACCCCCAAGTCCTTCTCTGCAGGGCTGCTCTCCATCCCTTCATCCCCCAGCACGTATTGATAGTGGGGATTGCCCCAACCCAGGTGCAGGACCTTGCACTTGGCCTTGTTGAACCTCCTGAGGTTCTCATGGGCCCACTTCTCCAGCTTGTCCAGGCATGGTCTTTCCTCCTGAAGTCTGTTGAAGTGGAGGATATTCTTTGAAAGTCAGTATTATGTCAATATTGCAGACATGCAGTCCTCCCAGCTGTCAGATTTGTTCCCAAACTACACTAAGGAAATACTTCTACTGACTCTTCAGGAGCATTCAGGTTACGGTAATTCTGTCTCCAGTACCAAGGTCTTGTAAATGGCCGTTAGGTTACCAAACCTGACCTGATAGTCAGCCAAAAGCATCTAGACAGATGTTTCTTTCAACAGAAGTGTTCTTAGTTTTGACATCAAATCAGAAGCAATATATTATCTTCCTCTGATGAAATTTTGTTGACTCCAAGGCTGCCTAATTACATTGTTTGCTTTTCATCCTAGGATGATGATGAAGTTGATGGAAATGAGGAAGTGAAGGAAACTCGGGTAAGTGATAACATATGTTGGTATTTCGCTCTTGAGTGTTGGTGACAAGTCTTCCGTGGCTTTGCTCTTGTTTATATGAGAGGTTCAGGCTCTGTTCAGGAGCCAAATACAAACCGGGAGGTAGTTCTGAGTAGCAAATTGCTTACTGATGTCACGTGTGAAAGATAAAGAACATCTACAGTCTGACCTAAGTCCAAAAGCTGTCTCTTCGTGAGCTGCATAGGCAATTCTCAACCCCGGAGGGACTGAGCGGAGGCAGGGGTGAGTGCCTTGCTGAGAGCGCTGTCAGAAGCTGCCACGATGGGGAGCGTGGCTGTCAGGTGTCCCGAGGAAGGCGCGTGACCTTGTATCTCGGGATCACCCTGACACTGTTGTTTTGGACAGAATGTTTTGTATTTCAAAAATCTGCACTCTTGTCTCCGCATGGATTTGTTTTCTTGCGGGAAATTGTCTTGGCAAGCAACACATCAGTGACTGTTCATTGTTCCCCTGCCCTTGCAATAGTTTCATGATCCTTCGAGGCCCTCTCTTTGCTTTCCTAATAATTATCGAGTCCTTCCAAATTGCCTTGGCTTCTGTTGGTTTTGTCTGTCTTTGTCTAAAACACATTTGAGCCTGACAGCATGACTTACTCTGACAATGTTAAAGCTAAATACATTTCCAAACTATTAAATGATGTGCAAGACCTGGGAAAAATAGGAAATTTAAGGTTGCTTAGGGGTCAGCCTGCTTCGGTGACGTTTAATCTTTGCCAGAAAATGTTGGATTTACTATAGGCTTTCCTCATACTTTGCAATTCAGTAGAGTGATTGAAGCGTCATTTTATTGAAAAGTTTACTGGTTCCCTTGTGAAAATTGTCAGTAACACCCTTCAGGGTGTATTTTTGTTCTTCTTTTTACAATACTCGGTCAAAATGGGGCGACATCATGGTGAGCCTTGTGGGGCCCAGCGACTCACGCGGTGCTGGGATGGCTCTTAGTGAGTGCTTGTCTTTCAGTGCCCGCCTTTGCTTTCCCAGTGCTTACTCTGCAACATGAAATGTGGGATATTCCCTCCCACACAAGCACCCCCTGCTTCAAGCAGACCAGCTCTTCTCACAGGAGTGACTCTTCACAGCCTCGTTAAATCTTCCACTGACCCCGCGTGAAAGGTTCAGCCTTTTGACGTCCTCAGAATTGTTTTGACATTTCTGCTGTCTCACAGTAAGACTGAAGGAGGGGTATTTTGTAATGTGTAAAAAGTAACAATAAGGACACCTTGTGTTCCAGCAGTCATGTTTTGAACTTGATGGGAATGTCTTGTTCTTCTGGGAAGTTGTCCCAGATCAGCTAAAAATCACTGGAAACTCTGAGCACAGTTCTCGCCGCTCTCGTCAAGGGGTAAACTGCACTTCATGAGAACCCACCGTATGTTCCTGCCCAAAAATTCAGGGTCACTGAGTCTCTTACAATTAATGATGCTGGTTTTCCCTAAATTAATAGCGAGGAATCCTTTTGTCTTCTACTTCCCGTGATTTTCTCGTGGGTTCCCCTCTAACAGCAGGGCGACCTCCCTTCAGTTCCCTTGGCCCCTCGGCACGCCTGCTTTGTGCTGACTCTCCCCTGTTTTCCTCCGCACCGTGTGTACATTAGACCCTGGTGTAGACTCTCCCCCCACTGTGCTGGTGCTGGTTTTCCCATTCTCCCAGCCCTCTTGTTTTTATCCAGAGTCTGGCCCTGTCCTCCTGACACCCACCCTGCAGGTATTTGTAAGCATTTCTAAGGTCCCCTCGCAGCCTTCTCTTCTCCAGGCTGAACAAGCCCAGCTCCCTCAGCCTCTCCTTGCAGGAGAGATGCTCCAGTCCCCTCACCATCCTCGCAGACCTACTCTGGACTCTCTCCTGGACACAGCACTGCAGATGGGGCCTCCCCAGGGCAGAGCAGAGGGGGAGGAGACCCTCCCGGACCTCCTGGCCACACTCTTCCTAATGCACCCCAGGATCCCATCGGCCTTCTTGGCAGCCAGGGCACGCTGCTGGCTCATGGTCACCCTGTCGTCCCCCAGCACTCCCAGTCCCTCTCCACAGAGCTGCTCTCCAGCAGGTCAGCCCCAAGCAAGAAGGCCCTGCTCAAGTTCCCCCCTCCAAACCATGCAGCGCTGGAGCTCCGCAAAGGAAAGGTGGATGCAATTTTTGAAAAAGGAACAAATACATTTTGTTTTAATTCTTGGAAGTGGAGGAATTTCTTGTGGCTCAAACTGATGAGCACCAGCGTGGGAAACCAGCCCAGGCGCTTCGGCTGAGTTCTGGGCAGCTGCGAGCAGTCAGGCCACGTTCGTGTCTTTGCTCCCAAGCCCACGTTCTCCTTGATGCAGGCTGCTTGGATGCGTTGTGGAAAGTTGGAAGAGCAGATCAAGTTTTATTGTGGAATAAATGTTCAAGGGCACAAGGACTTCAGCTGGAAAAAGCCCCTGGGGAAGCAGCTTGAAGAGTTTTTTGCATGGTTCCACTGGGAAGGATTTTTTTGGTCTGGGGAGGCCTGAGCTCGAACCAGAGGTGGGGAAAAAATTTGGCCACAGTCTCGTCTCTGTTTCTCAGAAAGTACAAATTACGGGGGTCTGAAAAATCCCGTTAGTACCAGGCTGAGCAGCGTGGGTAGGTTGGCGTTGGGGAAACTGTTCCTGCTCCCCGCACGCCAGTGACTGGGAAATATCGGCGAGCACTCGGTCGTGGTGGGGCCAGCGCGTAGGAACGCGAACGGTCAGTGCAGACACCAGTCAGCAGCTCTAGTTTGGGATGCAGCATTTGAAGGATGATGATGAAGACTGTATAGAATGGTCTGATGTTACATTTTGGAGAGGGTTTTCTCTATCCTCAGCTCTTCTGGCTTTGACTTATACCTGACTTCTGCCATTGCTGTTACACAGCAGGAGAAATTGGGAACAATTTTGGAAGAAAAGCGTATTTTAAATGACATGCCATGCACAAGAGGAATAGAAAAATGTGTGTAATCATTTAAGGAATTTCATCACCTTGCGTTTCTCTTCGGTGGCATTACAGATGTGCCTCACTCGTGTGTTAGAGAGCTCGTCAAGGGAAAGCTTTAAATACAGGGGAATGCACGGAGTGTCGTGTTGGTAAGGTAACAATTTCTGGGCAGTAAAAGTGTCAAAGAAAACATCTGTTCTTAGGAACTTCTTCTAGGACAGTCTGTATAGCACCATATAAAACCCAGATGCATTAATGGAATGAACTTCTATGCAGCAACAACACTGAAACGTGTGATGATGGGTTACAGTCACAGTACATGTATTAAATGGGCTCCATTCTTCTCTCCCTGTACTTAGATGTACAAAACACAAGTGTTTTAAATTCTGCAAAACACTATTCAAGCCCACGCTGTTTTGTAAATATTACGTGTTCTGCCTAATTGTGCTATTAACAGGAAATCACCGGATGCAACGGGACATCGACAAAAACTAACTCTGTCTTAGGAGGACTGAATTTCTAAGCTCGATGCCATGAATTCAAAGGGAAGACCAATGAACTGGAAAATTCCTTACGCAAACCAAATGTCTTGATGTAATAGAGTTAGAACTTGGGAGCCCTGATTTTGCAGTGTTCTGTCTCCCGCCTATATTTTTGCTTTTAGTGGCATTTTGTCTTCTGCAGAGACTTCCAACGTAGCTTCTGTGGTCATGCTGTTTATCCAGTCCATCTTTTAAAAAAGGTAAACAGCTAAAAGATGAGAAATAGCTTGAGGTAGTGTTTTGCCACTCGCCTGTCGTAGCCGGACTGCCCTAGGATCCCAGCAACTACCCCGTGTTTTATTGCCCGCTCTCCCCGACGCCGCGCGGCGTCGCGTGCCGCTGGGCGGGCTGCCGACGTGCCTGCCAGTCTGCTGAAGCTGAGGAAGGCTCCGAGTCCTCCACTTTCTGGGCTCGGGTTGCCTAATATGGTAAGGTATGTCTTCCCGGGCTGCGCTGTGCTGCTGGGATGCGAGGGAGAGTTGGCTGGAAGAAGGGAACAGAATAGGTGAGCCTCCTGCCAGCTGATCCGGAAGGGAGCTCTCTGAATCCAGACAGCGTTCCGTGGCCCCGTTCATCCTGCGCCTTGCCGCTGCCGGCCCGGGGTCCCTCCGGGGCACGCGGGATGCCAGTGTTTGTCCCTGGTTTTACCCATGAATGTTTACTGCTGGCCTAGAGGCAGTGGGACACGGGAGGGAAGCCATCTGGCCCCCGTCCAAGGTGGCGTAGGTGGTACTGGGCGTCACTTGGTCGTTAAATTAGAGAGCAGTTAATGATGTGGAAAGTAAGGCTGTGAGAGATTGGCTCTGTTTAGTCCTGTTTGTAAACAAAATGCGGTCATGGGTTGTGTATGCTGCGAGGAAAGCAGATCTTTAGTATGTGTATAACCGGCAGTATAAAACTGAGTTGAAAATAGCAGAAAATTGCTGCAAGAGCATGAGCTAACGTTCTGCCATAGAGCTTTAAATATGCTGAAGAACAGTTTTATTGTGTTCATAGTGCCCTGGGTTCTTTGTGAGGCAGAGGGGGAAGACACTATAGAAATTTAAATTAATTCTGCAAATATTCCTACAAAATATTTTCACATCTGCACAGATAAATTGCCTGATGAGTTCTCCAAGCCTAATACGCTTGTGTTGGCTTTTCTTAACCTTAATGTTTTGAGAAGGGCATCAGACTTGCTGGCTGCTGTCCCTGTTGGTACAGCATTTAAATCGTCAGCGAGGCTGCCCAGTGCCTATTTGCAGCTCTGGGAAAACATTGTTTGTGCTGAAAGCCAGGCAGTCCAAGCTGGCTGTGTGGACTGCAGGGTTACGGCTAAATGCGTTCAGGTTAATTCCTCTAATTCATGGAGCTGCTGAATTAGGAAGGTGTAGTGTGAAGCAGTGTCCATGATGGAGATGAGTAACACAAAACCAGCTAAAATCCAATCTGTGAGTCCCAGGAAGATGGAGCAAAATAGCGAGTCCTCCGGGAATGGTGTACGAGGTCAAAG